GGAGCAGCTGCTGGCAGTGGTGAGGACGGGCCCGAGTTCCCCGGCAGCACTGGGGCTGCCTGCGGGAGCCCCGAGTTGCAAAGTCGCAGCAGAGCTGCAGTCTTCTCTTGCAGCGGATGTCATGCTGTTGTCTTTTTCTCTAACCACCCCCCCACCCCCCAAACAATCCCCTCCTGCCCTTCCTTGCCATCTGTGCTGTTAAAAACACAGGATGGGTTTCCCCATAGTCTGCCAGGGCACAGCCTGCTCTGCTGCTGCAGCTGGATCCTCCTTTGCAGCTGCCAGCAGGACTTTGCCGAGGCAGGAGAGAGACTTTCTGCGGTGGTGTCCTCTGAGGAGGCGTGGGGGGAGGCGGGATCTGAAAGCCCATCTTTCTTGGAGTGACTGCGTCCAAAGTAACCCTGAGGCCCCTGCTCAGCTGGCTCCTGGCACTGCACAGTGACAGAGAGTGGTTTTCCCAAGTTTAACAACATCTCTGAATCTGTGCAGGGCTCTGTCTGGCCTAGGTTGGGACTTGGTGCGTAACAGCTCTTCATGCAGGAAACTTAAGAAAAAGGATTGCTACATACATCCTTTCCACAAGACTTTAGTCCTTCTGAAAGTGGTTTCCTCACTATTAAAGGAGAAATAACTGCTTTAATGGCATACGGGGAACATTTGGAGGCAAATCGGCTGAAATGAGGGACATAGGAGGACAAACTGTATATAAGCACCTTGGGAACTGCCTGGTGGGAACTGAGTACTCCCCTTTTCACTGCTGCCTTCACCAAAGAACAAGAAACATTAGAAATATTAGAAATATTCAGAAAGAAATATTAGCCTTGTTATTGCTGTGGCTGTCAGAGGCTGCGAGGTATAACGTGGCACAGACCCTGTCCTGAAATTGCAGGGAACCCCCAAGGACATGAGACTTGGAAAATTGCGTGTGGTGTCATCACTGTTGCAAAACTTAATGTGTCCCAAAGCCAACGTTGGACACCATTTTCCTGGCCTGCACGGCCTTGCCCCGTGTCAAAGGCACACTGCACAGTCATGTGACATATGTCTTATTGACACGCTCCCTATTTTAAGTATCAAATTGATTTTTCTATGTTTGCACTCTCACTGTGAGTTCCTTATTGGTTACTTTATTTCCAGACAAAACTTCCAGCAGGTTTAAGCATCTCAAACTTGGCTGGCTTTTCCTATTTGCGGTAGCAATAAACTTCCAGATTTTTTTCGGTGCCTTCAGTGTTGCTACCTGAAATAACCTCTATGGAGCATCATCCATTTTTAATCATTTAAGGATTAATGACCTGACTAATGTCACGGTTTACTGAGTAACCCAGTTTGTCCCCTCGCCTTTGTGATAGCTGGCCTTAGTATTACAGTATTTCCTGCTTCCCTTTCAGGATCAGATTTGATTTAAAAAAAAAAAAAAAAAAAGTCAAGTGTTTGTACCGTGGGACAAAGATCACGCAAGGCTATGTGCTTGCCACTGAATGGCCTTTGGGGAAGGACCGCTTCGTGTGCGTGGGATGGGGAGATAATTGCTTTATTGAAGCAATGAGGCCAGACTGCCCTTCTGTGCTGCAGTCCTGCTAGGGACAGCCATGTTTGGGCTGAGAGTGCAGCTGGCTGAGAAATGAGCTGTTGTTTTTACAGGAACGCTTGAGGGAATTCAGAGATAATTGTGTTGGTTGACGCTGGGGTGGACAAACCAGTCTTGCTCCCCGTGGAAGCTGGCTTCTGCAGTAGGGCCATGTCTAATGGAGCTGCAAATCCACGCGCTTTACTGAGAATAGCTAATGCTCTCAAACTCCCATTTCCCTGAGCTGTAGCCTTGCGCATGGTGTCTGGGCTGTGCCTCTCCGCTGCCACTGCTGATGGTTGTCTGCTTGCATCGCAGAGAAGGGTGACTTCCTTGCTGTGGACCTGGGCAGCTCTCAGTTTCGTGCCCTTCAGGTGAAGGTGTCTAATGTTGGGAAGCAAAGCTGCCAGCTGGAGAGCAAATTTTACCCCACGCCCAAGGAAGTCATCCAGGGGAGCGGAGCTGAGGTAGGGCCTGTGGAGTTGCTCTGCGGCGGTGCTGCACGTGCCTGCTGGACACAGCCTGACCTATCTTCTCCCTCCTGCTGCAGCTTTTCGATTATGTTGCTGACTGTCTGTCAGACTTCATGGAGTCCAAAAACCTGAAGTATAAGAAGTTACCTCTTGGCTTTACATTTTCTTTTCCATGCAGACAGACCAAATTGGAAGAGGTAAGATGCAAAAAGAAAAAAAAAGTTACTACAGGCAAGTGTTGCTCCTTACAGAGCCTGCGGAAGCTATTGCGTGGGAGTGGTAGCTCGTGGCCTTGCGTGTGGGATAACCTTTGCACAGCTCTCTGAGCAAGGCATGGGCCAGCCATTGGTGTTTCACTAGACTTGACTACCATTCAAGGATTCATTTGCTATCTCAAGGCAACAGGATCTTTAAGCTAAAGCTATTTTACTTATCAGTACCTGACTCCATGGTAATCACATGTCCTTACGTGAAGGCTATTAGACTTTAAAACATGTACTTTTGTGTCCTAAAGTGTGTGTGGTGTTTTTTTTTTGGGGGGGGGGTTGTTTGTTTGTTTTTAAGTTCCTCTTGTTCAATATCTTTACAGTGCCTCCTGAATAGGAGAGACCTGTAGCTGAGCTGTTTGGAAAGCTGCATGGGGGAGGTGAAAGGCTGATTGCAAATATTTTGTGACTGCTGCTTCTTTCCTCTCTTTTTGGTAGGGAATCTGTGCTTTAGGCCCCAGTCCTAAAATGCTTTGTTCTTAATGTTGTTAATTTGTGATGAATGTTGGTAAAAGCATTCACATTTTAAATGAAGCACGGGGAGATGCATTGCAGAGTTGGGGCCATATCGTTTTATCTGTTTTGTTGTGTTTGGCTGATAGCCACTGTAACTGAGGGTGAGGTATTCTGCCATGACTTGTTTCGGCTCACGTTTTCACAAATGGGGAGAGATAATGGGCTTCTTCCCAAGCATTGGTCTTGGCTGTCTTTGTAGCATGTTAGTAGGCCAAGGTTGGAGCTTTTTGGTCACTGACTGTTACTTTGCAGGGGGTGCTCCTTAACTGGACAAAACACTTCAAGGTCCGAGGCGTTCAGGACGTGGATGTGGTCAGCTCTCTGCACAAGGCCCTCAAGAAGCATAAGGCAAGTTTTGTTCCTCCAGAGGCCAAACTGAGTAGTCCCAGATTTGTCTTCCTGGGACGTCTGCGCTTGGTGCGTGTGATATGTGGGAGTTGCCAGACATCCCTCAAGGACACCCGGTAACAAGTGTCTGACATGGCTGTACACTGAGTAGATATGGCTAGGGCCTCTGAGGGCTGCTCTCTGTCTCCTCCTTTCCCAGGGGTTGCTGCCCCACAGCTGTGGAAGGGGACATACAGCTCCAACGCAGCTGCCCCAGCTCACAGTCTGGCAGTGATGGCAAATGCACACTGGTAAACTGGATTGGAAGTGGTGGGGGACCAGTCCAGCCCCACTGTCGTCCTGAGCTAGAGGGAATGCGCTGTCAGCCTGCATGACGAGATGCAGATACGTGCTGTATTTTGTAGCTTGGGCTGTGTGGGATGGAGAGCTGGGAGGGAGGCGGTATCAGCTTAAATTAGCACACCTAACTCTGCCAGGGCTTGCCTACTTCAATCTATGGGATACAGTGGTGGTAATTCTAAAAATCAGCAATAAGACAGGATTAAATCTGCCCTTTAACTAGTGTATTCCTTTGAATAGCATTGTGACAATATTTTTGGAAAGTCTTTTCATATTCTGTACTGTTTGTAACATCATCTAAGAAACAGCAAGCATCTCTTCATATCTTGTCCTCATTGTAGTAAGGAGGAAATTCTGCTATTTTCTCGTGTAATAAAACTCCAGCCTTGATTTTTTTGGTTCATTTCTTTCTCTGCATCAGTCTTGCAGCAGTTAGCAGATCAAGGATTTGCGACTTCCTAGGTGAAGTCCAGCTCCTTGTTAGAGGAGGCACTCATGTTGCAAGGATCCTGATATAACTTTGTACTTTATCTCAGTGTGAAAGGAAAACTGCATAGCTCTGATGGAAAGGCTTTTTATTTGGGTGTGATGTTGATGTACTGAACCTTATGTTGAGTAGTTACATTTGTATATGCATTTCCTGTCAGTTTGATGGGATCTGGTCATGGCATAGTACGTTCGCCTGAGCGAGATACCAGAATGCAGCCTATAAGGACACGCGCACTGGTGCCAGCACGTCACGAAATTCCAAACAGTAAGGCTTTGCCTTCTTGGAAAAGAAGGGTGGATTGAGGAAAAACAAATCCCACACCACTGAAGACCCTGGCTGGCCAAGCACTTGAGAATTCGGAGATGTTCCTTACTTTACAGTGTTGTAGGGACAGTGTTATAAAAGCAAGTAGCGTGCGCTTTTGGTTCAGGCAAGCTCTAGCAGTTAACCTTCAATGCACTACCCAGGAGTATGTCTGCCTGTTTTTGCATCTACAGCTAGGATGCTTTCTCAGCATATTTCTATTAACCCCTCATCTTTATACTCTCAGGGCATAGATGTAGATGTCTTGGCACTAGTCAATGACACCGTGGGAACCATGATGACTTGTGGATATGATGACCAGCGCTGTGAAGTTGGACTTATAATTGGTAATTTGTTCTGTTCACTAAATATTTTCTTCCCCCACCATTTGTTTAATCTTAACGATCCTTAAGTAGAAGGCAGTGTCCCAGTAAAGGAAAGGCCAGAGAGAAAATGGAAAAAACAGTGTTCAGATTTGCAAGCCAGACTGCCTTATGTAAGGCAACAGTTCCTATGTTGATCACATTGCCATCAAGTATTAAGGTGTACTCCTTGTTTTGTCTGGATCCGGTTCTGACCAACACAAACTTTTCTGCTGACAGCATGGCAAATCCAGTGTCTACCTCTCCAGAAAAAGCTGAATTCCCTCTTGCCTCTGGCAGTAAAGATCAGCTACTCTTCCAGTAACTTGTCTGCTTCGCGGCACTGCCGTGGCTTTTTCTAAGCCACATAGAGGTACATTTGAGATAGAAGAAAGGTTTTTAAATGAGTTGAGCCTTAGATCAACTTCTGGTACTTTCACTCAACGTAAAATGTTATTTAATGAGTATAGGCAGCTTGACAGTAGCACACTCTACCACAGGTGTATGTATTTGCATTTTCTTTTAAAGAAAACACTGACTTTTTCCCAAACATGTGGGCTTAAAATAAATGAAAAACAAACCTGGGGCAAATGTGTAATTTTTCCACACTGGCTCCAACATGCGCAGGGACTGGCACCAATGCTTGCTACATGGAGGACATGAGGCACATCGACCTGGTGGAAGGCGACGAGGGGAGGATGTGCATCAACACGGAGTGGGGGGCCTTCGGGGATGACGGTGCTTTGGATGACCTCCGCACGGAGTTTGATCGAGAGCTTGACCTGGGATCTCTCAATCCTGGAAAACAGCTGTAAGTGACTTCCGCTGCTGATTTGACTTGGCAGTCTAAGGACTTTGCATATGTTTCCAGAGTGTGCCAGGAGCCCCTTTAGAACGGCAGTGGGGTTGAATGAATGTAAGCTGACCTGATCCTTGTCCTGCCCGATCTGGACCTTTCTAATCACTTATCTGGGGGGCTGTGGTTGGGTCCCAGCACCTCAGGAAGGCATAATGTCCACAGCTTAGCTCCCAAGCACCTTTTGTAGGTGCTTAAATTATGTTTGACCTGTGTAAGAACATAAGATGCTTGTACTTGACCATGTAATGGCTCTGGCAAGTAGTGAAATTGAGTCTGGGTAATCCTACCTGTAGTCCTACCTGTGCTTTGTTCCAGGTTTGAGAAGATGATTAGCAGCCTGTACCTGGGGGAACTTGTAAGACTCATTCTTCTAAAAATGACAAAGGAAGGTCTGCTTTTCAACGGGAAAGTGTCAACAGCCCTGTGTACTAAGGGCAAGATTGAAATGAGACACGTGTCTGCAATGGAAAAGTAAGAGCTGGAGTACACCCTCTGAGAGTGGCTGTTACTCTTTCATAAGCAGCAAAGTTGTTAATAATTTCATTATAATCTATGGGTATTTGGAATTGATCCTGCACTGGCCAGCTTGGTTTTGCTTTTACCTAGGAGACAAATGATCCTTCCTTAAGTAAGAATTGGTGGAAGATGAAATGTTAACAAAGTACCGCAGTAGCAAATGTACTGTTAACAATCACAGGCATAAATTGTTTAAATAATCTCTTTGGAGACCCGACCGCATAGGAGGGTTCCTGCAATTTTCAGCTTCTGGGATGTGGGAATGCTTGGCTTGTATTGGGGTTGTGGAGATAGAGCGCAGACTCTGGGTCATCTCGTGGATGGAAAACTGACAGGTTCTGGTGTTTTCCAGAGCAATCCCACTGTACACTGATACTTCAGGGATGATTTCTGTATTTGCATTGTACTGAAGAAAGCTGTGCATCTATTATTGATTTGTGTGTGGCCTACTATCCTTGCATTAAATGATTCATTCCTTTGTTTTGGGGCAGATATAAGGAGGGTCTGAGCAACACGAAAGAGATACTTACAGAGCTGAACCTATTTCCCTCTGAAGAGGACTGCATTGCCGTTCAGCATGTCTGCACCATCGTTTCCTTCCGCTCAGCCAACCTCTGTGCTGCAGCCTTAGCAGCCATATTAACGCGACTGAGAGAAAATAAAAAAGTGTTAAGGCTGCGAACCACTGTTGGGATTGATGGGACCCTCTATAAAACCCACCCCCAGTAAGTAATCAAAGAGCATGTGGTAATTCCTGGCCGTGGGCAGCTGCTGTTAAGGGTCCCCGCCCGCATGAATGTGCGGCTTTTCAGGAGAGCTGCTTGCCCTGCCACAGGGCAGGGGTGAGATCTGGCTGGACTGGGGAAGGTAAGACTGACTTAGTTATCACAAAGCTGGCTCAGGAGCTTTAAAGCTGGCGGAGGTACGCTGATGTCTAGCGGAGAGCAAGTGACTCCTCCAGTGACTGCCTCTGGGGCACTTGCAGTTCATTTATTCCTTGGATTTTTGAACGTATACTCAAACTTCTCCCAAGTTTGGATGGAGGCCAAGTGTCTGTTGCTCTGATTCTGACCTTCTTTAGCCTGCTTCTCCTTGGCACTCACACTCGTCTACAGGTGTTTTCTCATTCCTGGAAAGAGTACAGCTTCTGCAGAATAGTCAGAAATTGGGAGCATTGTACTCGTCTCCAGACCAGTTTCTGACACTGTGCTGGCTGCTGTGCTTCCTCACTTGTGAGTTTCAATGCGTGCATGTACTGGAAGCATATGTGTAATGTAAGCCGTGTGGGAAATGCCTACGAAGGTCTACAGAAGCTCTTTGTTCCCCGAGGTATGCTAAACGTCTGCACAAGGTGGTGAGAAGGCTGGTCCCCAACTGTGATGTTCGATTCCTCCTCTCTACGAACGGCAGCGCAAGGGGGGCCGCCATGGTCACGGCGGTGGCGTACAGGCTGGCGGCGCAGCGCAAGCGAATCGACGCTGTTCTTGCACCGTTTCTGCTCTCCCTGGAAACCCTCAGAGAAGTGAAGAACAAAATGAGGACGGAGCTGGAATATGGACTAAAGAGAGAGACGCAAAGCAGGGCCACGGTGAAGATGTTACCCACATATGTCTGCGGGACCCCGGATGGAACAGGTGAAGTCTTTTTCTGGTCACCTGGGGGTAGTGCAGGGAAGTTGCTCGTCTGTTTTCTTTGGGGGGAGTATGACAGTATGGAGAATCCTGGAAAATGCCAGGGTGGTGTCTGCTGGCAAACTGTTGCTTCCTGTGGTTTTATCAGCCCCTCGCCTAGCAGACTGATGGGCTGAATGTCACAAGGAACAGTGTGTTATCACAGGCTCAGCAGAAGTTTTTTGAAGATTTATGGCAGAGTATGGCATTCTGAGTGGCGGACATGCTATGAGACGCACCAAAATGAAATATTTTCTTCTCTTACAGAGAAAGGGAAGTTCCTTGCCCTTGATCTTGGTGGGACAAATTTCAGGGTTCTGCTGGTCAAAATTAGAAGTGGGAGAAGGAAATCGGTGCGAATGTATAACAAAATCTTTGCCATTCCTTTGGAGATCATGCAAGGGACCGGGGAAGAGGTAACTTCTAATAAATATTTAACTGGTTCAGCCAGGGCCCCTGGAATGGGAGTACCCGTGAGATTTACATACTTTTTCTGTCCTTCCAGCTCTTTGACCACATTGTCCAGTGCATAGCAGACTTTTTGGAGTATATGGGGATTAAAGGTGCTCGCCTGCCTCTGGGCTTCACCTTTTCCTTCCCCTGCAGGCAAGCCAGCATTGACAAGGTAAGGACCAAAAGGGAGCGAGGGTCATCTGGCAGCTCTGCATCTATTTGGCAAATGACGTTATTTTGGGTGGTGATGACTTTTTTGGTTTGGAATTTGCTGGCAGAAGCACTTTTTAAATGTCTCTCTGTCTGTCTGTCTATCTCTTTTCCTAAGTGTTTTTCTCCAAGCAGGACTTTTCAAGGTTTGGTGGGAAAATTAAAAACAAAAACAAAAAACACCCTACTGAATTGGTAGATGGGGATTTTATTACTCTGCTGTGCAAATTCGTTGTTTAGGAGGAAAGATATTTTATATGTTTATAGGAGGCAGAACTTTCACCTGTTGTGCCTGATGAGAAATGGCTATTTGCTTTCGTTCTCTAACGAGTAAGTCCTTATGAGGTCTAAATGACTGCACGTTTTTAATGGCCCAGGAATCTCTTGTGCTGCCTTCTCTCTGTAATGCTAAGGGAGAGCAGTCCCCTCCTTGTACTTTTTTCAGCTTCGATCCCAGGGTATTCTCCTGGCTATGCTGCAGAGCCCTGACTGTACAACTTTCCCGCTTACGTTAGTTTCTTTTTGTTGAGTGTCAGTGGGCAGAACTGAGCTTGCTTATTCTCACCTTGGAAGGGTTGGACCTTTCCAAGTCTGATTTGTTAATTGGACAATTAACAAAATAATAAGGTCCCTCCAAAATTAATCTAATTTCTTACATCAGCTCTGGACAGATGAAGAGTTTAATCAAGAGTAATCACGAATTTATTTATTTATTTTTTATTGCCTTTCCTAAGGGGGCAGGGGGAAAAGGGAGTTCTGCTGCCTAATCTGGTCAGTTATGTAGGATTCTGGGGAGGATGAGAGACTTCAATTGTATTAAACGTTTTTAAGTCCTGGTGGATTTTACAGTCGCTTCCAGGCTTGCCTGGCTCAATTTTCAGGTGCTAGTTGAGAGTATAGCAGTAGGACTTGATTATTTGTGAGGAAACCACTCAGCGTGCCTTTCCATCCTGCAGCATAGTACTTAGATGTTGTCAAGCGATGGAGAAACAATTGCCACTGCAGCAGTGGCAAGCTGAGTGAGACGGATCTGGTCAGGGCCCCAGGTATGTGGCCCTGTGGGTCTTGTCTCCAGCTGTTACTACAACTTTTTTTTTTTTTCCTCCCCTTCATTTGCCCCCCCCCCTTTTTTTTTTTTTTTCATATGGACAGATAGTCCAGAGCCAGTTACCAAGTAGAAGGCCAATTACTTTGTATGACCTTCTGTGGGGTGAGGTTGCAGTCCAGATGGAAGCAAATTACAATTTTGCCTAGAGTAGCAAGATCATACCCAAGTGTCCTTCTGTAAAAGTGTCCTTCCATAAAAAATTAACAATGGAAATTCATTAGTTTTTGGGTGCTTAATTATTTACGGCAAATGCAGTTTTTACTATTTTTCTCCTGCAAATGGCGCAACGGCTGGGTGCGCAGAAAAGGAGAGAGAGAGCTTTACCAAAGGAGGAGAGAGCTTTAAAAGGCGTTGGGTGGGCAATGTCTTGATAAATGGGTGAGTAAACCTGGAGTGATCCCCATCTGTGTGCGTTAAACACACGCTTGCGCATTCCCTGCACCAGACACTTGCAATAACTTGTTTTTTCTGGCTCGGGAAATACTTACTCCTTTTTTTTTTTTCCCCCCTCTCTCTTTTTTCACATGTTGGTCACTTGCATCATCTTTTTAGTATATAAAATTTGCCATAAGAATTTTGCTCCTCAAGTAACATGATTTTTTCTTTCTTCTTCTACGACTACATTTGTGGATTTTCTGTTTCAGGGAACTCTTGTCGGTTGGACAAAAGGTTTTAAGGCAACAGATTGTGAGGGGGAAGATGTTGTTGATATGCTGAGGGAGGCTATCAAAAGAAGAAACGTGAGCTATTCTTTTCTGCTTTCTGACACATTTAATGCACGCTCCCTCTTCTCCTGGGTCCCTACTATTGAATGTGACTTATATTTTAGGAATTTGACTTGGACATTGTAGCAGTGGTGAATGACACTGTTGGGACAATGATGACATGTGGATATGAGGATCCAAACTGTGAGATTGGCCTCATTGCAGGTACAGTGTTACTGAAGTGACCACTGTAAAATAAAATCATATATGCAAGTGCTAGGTTTCATTCCCTATTTCAGAGTTTGTAAAACAAATCTCTTACGAGTCTCTTACCTGCAGTATGATATATGGTGTTACTAGTTGCTAATAGATCTTGGCAGGTTTCTATGTTATTCAACTGAGAACATAGTAACACCTGTACCAGATCCAATCAAAAGTCCACCAGGTTCATGATCCTATTTCTGGCGGTGCCTAACAGTGGATGCCTGGGGATTAGAGTATGGGAAATATTCATACTGCATTTACTCTTTCTGTTATGGCAAGTATATTAATATTTACTGTGTAGGCAGGTCTTAGGCCTTGGAACAAGAAAATGTAGCTTTAAAAATTTAAACAAATTCTTTGTGGGCTTTCTAGGTAATTCCCCCAATAGATCCTTCCAAGTCTTCAGGCAGGAATGAATCTAAAAACAGAAGATCTGAAGCCCCAGACGGAATGAACTCTTATGGCTAGCTAAGTGCACCAGTTAGCTCATCTTGTTCAAAGACCTGGTCGTTATATTTGTCACTGTAGCCGCTGTTGGAGGCGTTGAGGCCCCATTCATCAAATCACTTCAGCCCTGGTTGCTGCTTGGCTGTCAGCTGGGCGGTGGTCGTGAACGCTGCCTCTCGGCAGGGTTGGCTTTTGGGGGCACACTCTCATGCAAGGAGATTTGTGGTGCGTTACAAATAGGCCGGTGCCAATGTCTGGTCACTGCTTGCCAGCAGCTGCCAAAAGCCGTTTCTGACCAGTAACAGAGAATTGCCCATTCCCTGCACTTGGAATGTTGTGTCCAAGGCCCGTTTCACTTGGGAGCGTTTCTGTTGTAACACCTTACTGCACGCACAGTGAAAGCTGGCAGTTGCTTCTGTAAGATCTGGGAGATATTTGAAATTGGGATCTGGAGAAGAGATGTTTCAAGATGATCACCCCAATCATCTTCCATGTGTTTCAGTTGCTACTTCACTTTTCTGGTTGAAGCCTTGTTGTTTCCTCCTAGGAACAGGCAGCAATGTGTGCTACATGGAAGACATGAAAAACATAGAAATAGTGGAAGGGAATGAAGGAAAAATGTGCATTAATACAGAATGGGGAGGATTTGGTGACAACGGCTGCATTGACAACCTCAGAACAGAATATGATAAAGAAGTAGATGAAGGTTCGCTAAATCCGGGGAAACAAAGGTAGTATGATGGTCCTGATTTAAGAGAGTCCTCGAGATACATTGGCTGTTTTTTTTTTATGTGCAGTAAATGAATAATTGGAAAGGAAGTTTTAATGTTACATTTCATTTGCTGGACAGTAAGTAAGGCAGATATCCAGACAAAAAACACACACATGTTGTTTCTGTTACCACAGCACTGTTTTCACCCCAGGGCATTTGCCAAGCAGTGCAGCCTTGAAGATTTCCCTGCGAAGCATAGGCCTTGTTGTATTCCTTCCTCTTGTGCTGTTCTACTTGCTTTGGTTCTAGGACCAATCCTCCTTTCAGAGTATTTTCTTAATGATGCTGATTAGCAGGCAGGGCTTTTTGTTAGCCTGCTTCAAAAGTCAAATACAAATCATGCAAGAGGATAAATTGAACTGACTGTTCTTGATTTGGTAAAGACAGTGCTGATTGCATATGACTCACCAGAGGGTGCATAGGGAGGGCAGGGAAATGTTTCTCTTGATGTGGACTATGGCTTTAAAGCTATCTTGGGTTTAATATTGCTAGTGTGGTTTTTTTTCCTAGTTGTATTAGCTTTTGACATATATTTTGTAATTAATGTTTGCACTTGAAGTCACTGCAACAGATTTTTCTGATGAATGAAAGACGGAGTTCAAGGGATATTGTTCTGCAAGCTTTTGCTGCTTTTCAGGTTGTTAGGGTGCGTATCTACCACTGATTATGTTAAACAGAGCTAACTTGCTGTCTCTTTATTTCTATAACAGATATGAAAAAATGACCAGTGGAATGTATCTAGGTGAAATAGTGAGGCAAATTTTGATCAGCTTAACCAGACAAGGACTGCTGTTCAGAGGACAGATTTCAGAATCGCTCAGGAGAAGAGGCATATTTGAAACAAAATTCCTATCTCAGATTGAGAGGTAAAGATGTTAATTAGATTTACATGGTTTAAATTCTTAAGCTCTTCCAGAACCTCTGAAAAATAATTTTCCACAAAAGTGTGAAGCACTTTCCTTTGAGAGGTCTATTATGGTTTCCTCCTTGTGGGAGGGAGGAGGAGGAAGATGATATGATGAAACAAAACAAACAAAAACCCCCAAGAAACTGTGGGAGTTCTAGGATTATAGAATAATTATGAATTATCATTTCCTTTCTGTTTGGCTGCGTTGTCTTAGCATCAAGCATTTCTGTACTTGGAATTTTTCCTGTAGGACTTAAAATGGTACTTATTTAAAAAAAAAAAAAAAAAAAAAAGTCAGTGATATGTAAATTCCTCATGAATATGGGCTTGACTGCATATCTGTGCATGTTTGCCACAGTCTTCCAGGCTACTAGAAACCTCTTCCACTTTTGGAAAAATTTAAAGGTAATATCTCACCTTTTAGATCACAAATAACACAATAAGGTGACTCATCTGGCACAGCTCCCTCATGGCTTTGGGAGCGAGGTGCCTAACTATTGTTTGTGCCTTCTGCAAATACAATCTAACACAGCAAAGAGCGTTCCAGGAGTGAGTTTTGGATCCAGGTTCAGACTGGAACTTTATTTTATACTTTAAAACAAACGGAGGCGGTTAGAGCTGGAGCTGTGGTCATGGTCCCTTTGCATCGAGATTCAGTCTCATCTGTAAGACTCTTCAACTTGAGTGCTTGCAAGAGTTCCCCCTAACGTCCTGCTGCTGCCTGTGTTTCCCTCTGCTAGCGACCGGCTAGCCCTCCTGCAAGTCCGGCGAATCCTGCAGCAGCTCGGCCTGGACAGCACATGCGAAGACAGTATCATCGTCAAGGAGGTGTGTGGAGCTGTTTCCAGGAGAGCTGCCCAGCTCTGTGGGGCAGGGCTGGCGGCTATTGTAGAGAAGAAGAGAGAAAACCGAGGCGTGGAGCACTTGCAAATCACTGTTGGAGTAGACGGAACTTTATACAAGCTCCATCCGCAGTGAGTACCGTGGTCTTACGTCTCTTTGCTTTTTTGCTCGATTTCATTGTGAAAATGTGCTGGGCTGTGCCAGCCTTCTGCTGAGATGGTCAAAAATAAGGGGGAATAAACATCTGACGTCTCATTGCATCCTGTCTCTTCCTTTTCTGTTGCAAAGGATTGAAAGTTGCAAAGGAAAGCCCAGTTTGTCACTGGGAGGCTCTTGTTCTCTGGGGTGTTAGCAAACCTACTCTTTTAATATTGATTTTTCCAGTGTTTTGGAGGATTTCTGCCATGTCTGGGGATCCTAGATGAATGCAAACTTGTTCACGTGGAAAGCTGTGTTGGGTTTCTGTAGTTAAGCCTGTATTTTGTGAGCAAGGCCTCAAAGTAGTTGCATTAGCTGTTGGTTTGGGGGAAGAGAGCACCTT